GGAAGCGGCTTTAGCTTCTCAGTGCTGTGCTTTAACCTGCTGCTCCACCAGGGAGGGCCATGTCATTCTATTTTTTATCTTAGATGAGTGGAGTGTATTTGGATTTTCTTTTCCACAAAAGTGAAAGCCCCTTATCTTTGTTTCACCAATTGGATGGACTGCAGCCCTGGAAAAAACAGAGAGGAATTGGTAGGGGAAACAGGTTAAGTTATTTAAGAGGTTCTAATTCATTCAGATTTTCAGTAATAATTTTGCTATCGATAGAAGCTATTAAGGAAATTTGGTGACCAGTCTGTACTTTATGCCATGATACTATGTCACATATTAAAACCTGATATGTAATAGGAAAGAATAGTCCATTTCTGAATTCAGGGAGGTTAGTGATGGTCTTGGGTAGCAAAAGAATTGGTTATTTTCCACGTATTTAGTGATAGGTTCACAACCAAGAACAAAAGGGAAAAGACAAAAGTATTAGTCATCTTTCAGCTTTATTGTTTAAGCATTAGGAATGCATTTAAGTGCTCAATTATTGATTCAGCCATCAGAATAGAAAAGTTTCTATATTTTTTATAGTATATACACATCTATTTGAATCAGTTTCTTTGAGTGGACCTGTTTTTTAGTAAATACCACATATTAAAAAATGTAATTTTTTTCTTTGGTATCTCATTAAATACTGCTTGAAAGTCGGTTGCAAGTTTCTGAAACTTAGTTAAAAACGATTGCTTTACTCATGTTGCCAATCTTCTGAAAGGATGGGAGTGTATGTGAAATGCCAACTATATTCTGTCTGCTCATATTTATTGTGCTGTAGACTGTGCTACATGTAGGCAGGGTTTGAGTGCTTGGAGGGTTTGGGTGCTTAGGTACTTGCCTCTTGTTAACTTTGTGCAGGAAAATAATCTTTTTCTAATTTAAAAATGTAGGGGTAGGACCTAAATTATGCCACTTGGGTGCTATGATCATCATTTACTACTAAAACTACATAGTTTGGTGGGTGGGGTTGTGGGAGTTCGTAGAAAGAATGACATGCATTTTCCAGAAGTTCCTTTTTGCTAGTTGAAGTTCTTTATATATTCTGGATACTAATCCAGATGAATTATAAATGTTTTCTCCCAATTGGTGCCGTTTAAACTTGTTCATGGTATTTTTTGTTATAAAGCTTTACAATTTAATGCAAGGAAAAATTTTCAGTATTTTACATCATTTTTAATTTAAATATTTCCTATTTCAGTGTCATTATTTTTCCATCCATTTATATATGCTGTGACCAGTGATCTGATTTTATCTTGTATGTAGTCTTTTGGCTCAGACCTTTTATTGAATCCAGTTTCTACTGATTACAGTGCCATGTTGGTCACATAGCTAGTCTTGCATAGGCCTGGTTTGGTCTGTTTCTGAGCTCTTTGTTTTGTTCACTTTGACTCATCTAATCTGCACCAAACCATGCTGCTTCAAATATTATATCTCGGGAGCAGGGGAAGTTACTCTTTCACCCTGCCACTCAGAATTGTTACGGCTACACATGCTCTTTTACACTTGCATACATGTGATATTGAGTCTTTCAGTGAACAGGATATGTCTCTTGTTCTTTGCAACCTTTATTTATCTCCTTTATACTGCTGCTTAATAATATGTTCCTTCGAGACATTACAAGTGTTTTGTTTATTTCTGGGTATCATATTTTGGTTCCTTTTGAAAAGTACTTCTTTATTAACTACAATTTCTAATTACTTGTTGCTGATTTATAGGGGCACAATAGATTTTTCTTTTAAAATTGAGTATATATTCCCTTAAACCTACTCCCAGTCTTGTCTGCTTGGAAAATGATGACTTGTTCTTTAAGACCTGCCTTAAACTTCATTAATGCTCTAAATCTCCCTAGTGGTTGGGTGCTGTCCTTAAAAAAATGTATTATTATGCTAAGAATACTTGAGTAGATGGTTTTCTGTTTCCATAGTTGCATTAATTTAATTATCTTCCAATTGCTTTAGTTTGTGTGGCAGGTAATTGAGGGCCAGAGCTGTAGCCTACCCATTTTTGTCTGCCTTCTACCTAGAACAATGCGTACAGGCAGAGTTCACAGACTGTTGGCCAAGAGGGTAACTGCAGGACTTCCAGGCCCCTAAGAAAAAGGCGTTTCTTCCCAAGGCGTACTGGTCTGATTTTTCTGCTCTGGATCAGTGTTTTTAATTTTTAAATAATATAATAGTTTATTTTATTATTATT